CCTTTATGAACGTCAAGTGCGCTCTCCTAAACCGCGTGTTCGTCTTTTTCACTTCGAAGAGACAAAATACAATTTGTAAGCGCCTGGCAAAGAAAAATGTTTGCGTAAAATTTAGGTTTCGAGACCGTTAGAACTATTTAGGGGTCGGCGGTTCGAGATAGAAGCATGTTTCGATATCACTCCTAGCTCAAAACCAGTCTCACGACAAAAATATTTTACTCGTTTCTTTATCTTCCCCCCCCCCCCCCCCATTTTTTTTTTTTAACGGTTATGTGTGACATCGTGTCCATCCCGACACCTAAAAAAATGTTTCCAGTTTTTAGTTACACGACGCTTTAAGAAGTGGTATCAAAATGTAGTGCTGCAAAGTATCTTGAAATGACTTCAGGTTAAAGCAAGTAGGCAGGCGAGCTGGTTAAAGGGGCCCTGCAATCATATTTAAAGGGATTGTCCGGTCGAAACCGGAAGTACTTAAGTTTTCGCGCTCGTTACGTCGAGGGAGCCTCCATGTACACAAACGTCATTTTTATTTTGATATATGATGTCCCGTTATTCATTAAACCTTTCATGAGCGTACGTACTAAACTGCACCCCGAATTTCGCCGGTGTCAATGGCTGACATACGTAGCTGCTGCGTGACGTCACAAAACGCAAAGGTTTGTCGGATGGTCGGTATAACAGCGTTGATCGATGGATGTCTAGTATTTTGTTTCGAATTATATAGTCTCCTAGGCTGTACCCTACTGAAATACGGTTCTTTTAATGCAGTTCCCAAGTGTGCGCAAAAAACGTCACGCCTTTTAGCAGGACATTACTCGGAAAGCCATAAGCTTCGAGCTAACGTATGCCGTTTCGCGCAAACACAACTGCGACGGCCACCGATCAAACTAGGAGCGCTTGAGAAGCGATGCAGATTTCGCCTCCGAAGCGGCAACTAGGTACACGAAGCGGAATCTGGGTCCACATATCGGCGGATCCACTGGATCGGTGATAATGATGCTGCGGGTCGTTCCCTCAGAGGCGATGTCCGCGGGTCGAAGGCAAACGGCGAATCGTTCAGATGCATGTCGTCACTTGACTTGGATGAGCTTGGTGAATCGTAGCCACGCTCTATTTTCACATGCGGGTCAAACAGAATTTGGCTGCACGCGTGCTAAATTCAACTTCTGGTATCGTTTCCAGGTGGTCTAGCTGTTGGTTTCGGTTTCGCTGCATAATCCAATTGATTGATCCGATTTGGGCGAGGAGTGGATGGACGTAGTTTAATATCGTTGGCATAGCATCACACCTCCGCTTACGAGCCTTCTGCCCGCTTAGAGCTCAGCTCGTAGCTCTCTTCTGTGAGCTGCATAAGCGGGATCTCGATCTCGACGGGAACTCAGTCCCTACGCACGGCGACAGTCCATTTTGCTCGTCACTGCACGTCTCGCGGAAAAGTGCGGAACGTCATGTCTTGGCTCGCATGTGCTGCCCGGTGGTTGTGGCACCCAACCGCGCAACAAAAATCTCACCGAACCACGAAACAAGTCGAGCACAACAACAAAAACGAAGCACGCTGAGGCGTTCACTCGCAGGTAAACGAGGAGACAGAAATGCTCGCTTTGTGTTGTGTGACGTCAGAGCTCCAACGTTGCCAGATATTGCACGTACGATTTGTCTCGAGGCAATAACAATGATATTCAATTGTTTTCTCGAACACAAAAATTTGACCGGACAATCCCTTCAAGCATCTACCATTTTTGCGGTTTCCACGTCTCTTGGGGTTCGGGCAAGCCAGCGGGCACGGAGGGAGTAACTCAATATCAGTGCGTCATATTTTAACCGGACGACGCTGAAACCTCCTCCACCTACGGGGGCGACCCGCGGTGGCCAAAGCGCGCGATATGTGACGTCTTTGGTCCTGGCCAGAGCCGCTAAAAGCTTCTTTTTAGTCGAAATACAAAATATAAGTGGCGCGAGCCGTTTCAATTATTTATAAGAGTAGTTTTTCTTCAGTGTTTTAGATCAGAAAAGAAACAAATGCAGTTTATAATGTACGGAAACAAGAAATGATCCGTCGACATACCCGCCACCAAACGGAGGAAAAGGCGGCGCATACTAAAAAGGTGTAGCAGGACCAGGCACCGACAAGCGGCGAGCGTAGAAAGGTCCCGAATCAGGGAGGGCGGGGGGGGGGGGGGGGGGGGGTAAAGGTGGGTGAGGAGGAGTGGCAAATCCCGCGCGCCGACATCCTGGGTCCCGAGTGAAAGATTGCGGAAGAGAGCGACAGAACACGAGGGAAAGAAACCAATGTTGCCAGCTGAAGGATGACAGTCGCAATGGTAATCGCGAAGACTGAAAACTCTCAGCAATATAAACAGTGATAATTTAACGTTGCAAACTAAATTCTGAGCTATTCTAAGGTTTATAAAAAGCAGCATACTCATTACGCTGATTAACTTCCCTTCTTTCGAAATCTCGGAAATCTGGTGGTTGCGGGGTTTCGTATTTCCGGGGCGCGGCCACCCGCGAAGCCGGTTATCTAGTTTAGTCAAGCGTTGACGGAAAGCCGTACATCTGCGCGCTATGCAAAAAGACAGCTTCGAAAGGAGCGCGAATATCTTTCCACCGGTAAGTTCGTGGATTGTTGAGGTTCATGAAACTGCTCTGATGATATAATTATATTTGTGAAATCGAAGGCAGTTGGTAACCATGTGTGGGACCCCGAGGGTCTGCCTGCATACTCCGCCGCTTGCGGCAGCCAGAATGCATGGGAAAATGGCGGACCTTTTCCTCTAGAGTTAGTATGTAATATCTCTATGTCCAGAATATACGCGGCGGCGCTGCGGTCGTATGGGCTCGAGGATCCGACCGGTTCCGAGCGTTCCGAAGGCCTTCGGCGAGCAGATTTGGCTTGTGCTTTGGCCGTTTGGCGGTATGGCAGCGCGATGTGGCTCCCGTTCCGAACTGATCTTTATCCCGTGTTTTCTGTCGCTTGTGGCCAATGAAGTGTCATGCCGAATTAGTGTTTATACTTCGTCTCACCCTAGCATGGACTAACCGCGAAGGCTGTGCTAGCGCGAGCGGCCAGCCTTGACTGCCTTGACTAGAGCACTTGCTGCACGAGCCCTCGTGCAGCCGCCGCGGCTTCATTCAAAGCGACTAGCTCGC